CAAACAAACACCAGGGATTCATGCAGTCTCAGCTGCTGTTGGCAACTGCCATAGTTGTTGCTTTACCACAAGGACAGACTGGCAGCCAAGGGCAGCGAAGGAGTAGTAACCTGTGTTTTCTGTTTGTGAGATGAAGGGGATCTCTGGTCAGTGTGCTTGACAGGGGCTAGGAAAGGTCTTCGAGCAAATGGGAGAAGCAAGAGCATGTCACTCTTTCCTCTTTTTCCCTCCTTAGTTCCTCAGCATATACATATTTATAAAATGTAAGATAAGCTTGAGAGAGTCCAATAGGGTATTTAGCATGGCAAATACAAAGATGAACAGGGCCTTCATGCATATGAGCTCTGTGTCTGCATGGAGCATACTGTCATCAAGATTTTACAGTCAAGAGCATTTTGGCGGGAATCCCTTCCTCCCACTGGCATCCATTATAAATGGCAGGACTGCCCACCCATTTCCTTAGTTCAGCTGAGTCCACCTAGGTGGCCTTGAGACTGAGGGTTAGGTGAAGATCAATATGACTGACCTCACTCCAATAATGAAAGGAAGAAAACTACTTCAATATGATACCAAGTACGGCCAAAGGGTGGGTTATGGGAATGCACAAATAGTTACATGTAAGCAACCTGCCCTTCATCTTCATGGTCTTCATGTGCATTGTGCATATGCATGATTAACAAGCTGAACTCTACCTGGATGGTGGGCTGCTGTGGTCAATGAAAACTGAGGAGAGGACTGCCCTTCCAAAAGCACAGTCTGATCTGGTACGATTGCCAAGCTTGTAGTGCTTGACAAAGGTCATTGGGGTTGACCAGGTCTCTGCTTTGTAAAGATCCAGTAGAGGATTGCGGCATGCAGGCAGTTGCCATCACCACTGCTCTGGTCAAATGTGCCTTTGGTTGAACGTAGAGTTGCAGTTCATATGAAAAAGCAAATAAAAATAATGTCCTGGCTGAAATGGAAAGGTGAAACCACCTTAAGAAGGGAGGGAGGAAGGGAAGGTCTGGGAGAGAGGGTTATTCCTGTGAAAGATAAAATATGATGAGTCCATCCATGAAGCACACTGCTTAAGAACAGGGAGTTGATGTAACTGCCACCAGAAAAGCCACCTACCAAGCCTGTAGGTGCAGGTCAACCACTGTCAAGGGTTCAAATTGCTTCCTTGTCAGAGCCTATAATGTGATGGAGGGGCTCCAGTCCGGTGTTACGGAACATGTAGCTATGACAATGTTTTTTGGTTCTCAAAGTCACCTACAGAAAGGACGCAAGCAAACCAATGAACCCTGGGGATTAAGTTGTGGAAGGAAGAAATTGCCAACATGGATGGACAAAGTCTTCAAGCCCCACTGGAAGAGGGTGTTGAAAAACAGAAGGACTTGCTGAGCCATGCACAGATGTCGATTGAAGTTCTCCCTGGATGCAAAAGCAGTGAGGACTCTCTACTTTGAAACGTACGACTTTCTAGTGGGGAGTTTTAAAGAAACCTTCAAAATGGCCTTAAGTGTCATCAGGGAGGGCAAAACTAGCATGATCTAGGGGCAGATCCTCCATGTTATTAGGTGTAAGATGTGCATATCCAGATGGAGAATCCTCCTTCACCCCATTGAATCAGATCCAGTTTTGACAGAAGCTTGATATAGGTTCAAACCAACATCCTCAAGGAGGATAGAAAACCAGAGTTTTCAGCCCCATGCTATTATAAGGATGCAGTCCTTAGCATCCCACTGAACCTTCATCAGCACTCTTGTGATCAGAGGGAAGCCCGAAAGAAGTAGAAAAAAGTACCCGGCCAACTCAGCAGGAAAGCATGTCCTAGAGAATCCATGCTCTGCCCTGCCTGAGAGCAGAAGCTATTGCTTATGGCATTGTTCTGAGTGGTGAACAAACCCACAGATGGAGCTCCCTAGGTGCTGAAGATATGCTGTAGAGCCACAGGGTTCAGCTGCCACTCATGGGTATTGAGAGTCTTCCTGTTCTCATGTCAGCCAGCATATTTCTGGATCCAGCAACATGAATGACAGTCAACATGATGCTCTTATTGACATACCAGCCCCAGATCTTGATAGCAAGGTATGTCAACGGTATCGATCAGGTACCTCACTGCTTCTTAAAATATATAACAACTGTGGTATTGTCTGTGAGAATCTGGATGAGATGGCTGGCAAGGAACATCTCGAACACGATGAGAGCTTTCTTCACTGAAAGCATTTCTAGGAAGCTGATATGCTTGTGGGCTTCGAAATTGCTCCAGGTTGAGTTGTCAATGGACCATTGTTGGCTTCCCATCCAGAAAAGGAGGAATTGATCGTAACTATGTATTTAATGTATTTTGTATTCAATGTTGTAAGCCGCCCCGAGGCCTTGGCAAGGGGCGGCATAGAAATGTTTTAATAAATAAATAAATAAATAAACTATGAAGGCCAATTCAGGAGAAAGTAAAGGAATCCCCTTCAAGTAACTTGCCACAGTGAGCCTTAGCGCAGACTGGTTTGGCAAATTGAAACTAGCCATTGCTAGGTCATCCAGGGGATGGTAGGTATGGATGAAACACAGCTGCGGTGGTTGCATCCAAAATCTGCAACAGTGGTCACTATGAGCCTGAGTAGCCACTGAATCTGGAGAACCATTGCTACTTGTTGGCAATAAAATTCAGAGGACCTCTTAATAAACACAGTAGCTCTCACCTCTGAGAAATACACAGATTGAGATGGAGTCTAGCCATGAACCAGTAGAGGATTGTGAGGTTCCTCTGTTGCTCCAGAAGGCGGTTGCACAGAGCACCCAAATTCTCCCAGAGGAAAAGTTGGTACCTTGCCATGGTGACCTGGTAGCTGGCCACCCACAGATGCAGAGCTGAGGAGAAATAGATATATGTCCTTAAAGAGTTCAGGTGGTATACTTTCCTGTCAACAGGTGCTGAATGGTCATAACATGACCTTCCTTATGCTGATTCCGCCACGACTCAGTTTGGCTTAAAGTGCTGGAACAGGACTTTCTCCTGTACATATTCTCCACTCTTTTAGATGTTGGTGACCTAATGGAGGGGACTTTCCACAACAGCTAGATGGTCTGGGGAAGCAGGGGCAGCATCAAGTCTGAAAACTGTGAATGCTGCCTTCAATGACATTGATAAGCTCAAGGAAACAGAAGAGAGATTATTTCAAAGAAGATCTAGAGGACTTTGAAATAGTCAAGGAAAGTCAAAGAGGGTATTTTTTGTTTTTATTTTGGACAGTAAGGATAAAATGGGTAACATTTTGACAAAAACAAGAAAGACTAAGATATAGCATGCTAAGTTCTTTAGGAAGGGAAGAAACAAGTAAGAAAAATCTCAAAGCTAAAAAAATAAAAGTTAAAAAAAAGTATAAAAAAGTATAAGTAAAGGCATTCAAAGAAGCTGTGATAGCACCAGTAAAGGCAGTCAAAGAATGGAACTCCTCCCATTATAACAGACCCCAGGGTGGTGGAGCAGTTCCCACCAAAAACTCCTAGTTGTCAAACCTTCCTAACAACAGGCTCCACACAGGCACAGATCCATGAAGGAGAACATGAAGATACACAGACAATGGCTTTTTGGGACACAACTGTCCAACTTCTGAAAAAATCAAAAAGATTCCCACACAAAGAGAACAGCCTTGTCCATAGTTTCACAGGACTGAAAGTTAAATGTCTAGGTTCAGGTCATGCTCTTAACAGAAGCTTGGTAGAATCACTGAGCAATGTCTTCAAACATTACTGTTAGGTGATACCATAGCAGTTCTTCTTGCTGCAGGACTGGGATTCCACTTGGAAGTACTCTTGGATCCTACATTGTTCCTGGATTTTCAGGTAGAAGCAGTGATGAGAACCTCATTTGCACAGCTACATCTAATCACCAGCTATACTCCTACTGAGTTAGTATTACTATCTAGCAACAATTATTCATGTCTTTGTTACATCACAGGCTACTGCAACCTATTCTATGTTGGGCCTCCAAGAGCATCCTGAAGCTCAAGTATAATGTGGCTGTTAAGCTGTTAACCAGTGCATGCTAGCTTGATCACATCACCCAAGCATTAAAAGATCTGCAGTGGTAGCCAATTATTTTCTGCACTTAACTTAAAATGCTTTTTAAAACCTGTAAAGTTCTAAGCATGTTCTCTTTCTATATAAGCAATTGTTCCCGTATGTTCAAAAGCAAGCCATTAGTTGTTTGATTGTTCCTAACCAGGGCCTTACGTTACACTTCTATATCTACCTATGTTTAACAACAGAATGGAATTCAATAGGGACAAATGCAAAGTTCTGCACCTAGGAAAAAGAAACCAAATGCTTTGTTATCAGAATGCGAATACTCGATTCAACAATACAGCAAGTGAGGAGAATTTTGGAATTGTTGTAGATCACAAGCTGAATATGAGACAACAATGTGATGTGGCTTCAAAAAGGGCAAATGCTATTTATTACATCATCCAAATCAGGGCAGCATGATTTGTTAGGGGGAGAAACAACTCTTAAATAACACATGACCCCTGGTGGTTTATTTGATGCTGTTTCCTTCTCCACCAAGTCATGTTGCCTGGGTTTGGATGATATGGCAAGCTGAAGAGGGCAGGTAATCAGGCAAATGTTACGCATCGCACACTGTTTAAACTACAATGATCATTAAAACCAGACCACTGTGACTGACCCCAGATGTTTAACGAAGTACTCAATAGGTTTGGCATGTCAGGCTACACTAGCAAAACTAAACCAACAAAGGAGAAATCCATCTACGGGCAGACAACACTATTATTTCAAAATGCCCCTTGTCACCTTTGGTTTTAATTCAATTCAAGTTAGAAACCAGAACTAGATTAATTTGAGAGGAAAACTGTGTGCAAAAAAGTAAGAGAGCTGAATTAACACTATTGCCAGAGATATTAAAACTGTTCAACCTAAAAAGTCAACAAGAATTGACTCACACTCTATAGTCTTCCAAGTTATCCAGTGCGTAGGAGCTGCAATTTACAATTTAAAGGATATCCAACAGAAAGATCATTTAGAAACTGAAGAGTTCTTGAAATCACAGACTCACATTGTCCCCAGTACTTAAGATTTGTAACACTAGAATTAAATAAACAAGAAATTTTTATGAAGCTGTTTTCTAGCAAATATCAATTTAAATACACATATGCAATATTAGGGCGCGCGCGTTCTCTCTCTCTCTCTCTCTCTCT